GAGGGGCAAGTTGGTAAAGACTACAGGTCCTGTCGATTTCAGGCGTGTCCTCTGATACGTCGGGTTGCCTTCACCTCTTCATCAAGACGTCAAAAACGGACCCGTTCCGCCGAGGCGTGTCTCTCTCCATCGGTGCGTCGGGAAAGCGCATCTGCGCCGTATCTGCGGTTCGCCTTTACCTTCAGATTCGAGGCAACGCTCCCGGGTCACTGTTCGTGTTATCCGATGGCTCTCCGCTAACACCGGTGGTGGTCAACTGTTGGCTCCGTGCGATTTTATCCAATTTGGGAATACGTGGTACCTTACTCCAGTCACAGTTTCAGGATTGGCGCGGCGACCGCAGCAGCGTCTGCGGGCATCCCGGATCACTTAATTAAGACATTGGGTCGTTGGTCGAGCAACGCATACCTTCTTTACATTCGGACTCCATCGCCTGTGCTAACATCAATAGCTGCCGTGTTGGCATAATTCAAACCGTTTTGGAGGAGGGTCGAGTGCCTCGAACCCTTCTCTCCAACGTTGCTGGAGTGGTGCCCTGGAGAGGTGTTGTTCTCGGCACTCGAGAACAGCTAGCTGTTAAATGTAAATACGTTACCAAATCGTCGATACCTAATTTGTGAACGTGGCCATGACTAAACGCAAACTCTCGACCCACGGTCATTGCTTCGACCGAACTTCCTCTTCAGTGGTACCACAAACCGCCAAGTCACTTATCAGATTTGCTAGTTACGATCGAAGCGAGCTTGTTAATTGAACTATAACAATTATTGAACAAAAGTATTAATTGAATAGTTTTATTGAGATAAAAAAATCGAGATATATATATATATATATATATATATATATATATATATATATATATATATATATATATATATATATATATATATATATATATATATATATATATATATATATATATATATATATATATATATATATATATATAATTTACAAATTTAAGTTTATGTAGTTTGTGTAGTTTATGATTGCATTGTAAAGATCACTTAAAATGACGTACTTAATAATTTCTTTTATAGAATTTTGGAAAATTGCTTCTTTTGCAAAATATTCAACTTTGTTTCATACGCAAATATCACCGGTGTGACATTACATCGCATAATGACATTTTGAAAACGCAATATTTTATACCTGGATAAAATATTTTTACAAACAAATACGAGAGTACCTATTTATCAAGCCAGGATTCGAGCCAGGACTCGAGCTAGGATTTCGAGCCAGGTCTCGATTCAGGATTCGAGCCAAAAATGACGTCAGGTGATTTTGATGGATGAAAATTTACTAACAACATTCTCACTTTTAAGGAACTTTCTTTAAATTTAGACTATTCGTTCACCAAAAATGCGAAATGTTTAAGGAAATTTAACTGAATCTGAGGAATTATTTATCGATTACTTAAGAATGTTTCGCAAATGAGAAGTGAGAGAATTTGTTTACCAAATCAATTACCCGCCTTTTTCCACCAGAGTCGATAAAATAACTAAAGAACGTTAGTTTATATTTTGTATATTTGTACATACAGAGCTGCCAATCTCATCTGACTTTGGCTAACTGTAACGGTTATTAGCGTCGGAAGACAGTGAATGGAATAATAGTCAATAACGTTGTTGTTTGTGTTTGATATAGCGCACAAATATCGATATCCAAAAAAGGGAAATATCCGGCCAGTATTTTATCGAACTAAAACAGTTGGTATTGCCCATTACAGCAGTCTCTCGCTCTTTACAAAACATATACTTGTTGCTGCTCATTGCCGCTTAGCATTCGTCAAAGAGAGTAGGATAATTCTTCCTGCCCTGTTTTCCTGTAATGGATACCAATATTACCAAACTGTATTATAGCCAGCGTGGCCGGCTCTTCTAAGGCGGAGAATTCGCCTTAGAAGAGCCGGCCATACTTGCCAACTGTATTATCAAATACATTCTTTCGATAATTACGTCACATGCTCTCACTGGTAAATCAGTTACGCAAGGTGATTGGCGTAATTATCGAAAGGGTGTATTTAATTTGCTAGAAGTAGAACATTTAGCTAGCGTGCGTAACGTCTTATGAAATGAAAACATTGGGTAATGGCAATTCCCCGTATTTTCGCATTTTTTGATCGAGTCCTTGACTTGAGTCCTGACTCGAGTCCTGGCTCGAGTCCTGGTTCAAATCCTGACTCGAGCAATAGTATATCTCAACAAATACGGAGGGTTAATTACCAACATATACAAGGGCAATTTTCTAAGTTTCTGTGATGTTACACCGGTGATATTTTCATATGAAACAAAGTGGAATATCTTTAAAAGGGAGCAAGTTACCAAAATTCTATAAAAGAAACTATTAAGTCATGTTAAGTGATCTTTACAATGCAACCATGAACCTTTGGGGTAATATTCCGTGTCATAGGCACTTTAACCAATATAGCATGCTTGTTGCAGCTATAGGGATACTTCTTTTGAAGATTTAGCTGGGAATATCTTTTTCATCAGCAGGGGCGTCACTAACCCTGGTGATAACTTTTCCTAATTAATGTTTCTATTCCTAAAATTCTTGGCGAGCGAGGAGGGAGGGGTGGTGTTCCGCCTAAACATCAAAAATTTCAGGACATTATATATTATTCATTATTTTTTATTGACATGCAGTTACTTGTTTAGTTTTCCTTATAAAATACTAATTTGAATGTTCGCACAGAATAAGTGAGCGAAAGTCATTTTGAAATCGTGATAATCTCATCTTATTAGTAATTTCATGGCCTTTCTAACACATATTGTGAGCTATTATTCTTCTGTATGCTTTCTTTGGTATTTATGATATTGTGCATGCAACCTATTTTGCCTTTGAAGTAGTGACGAATCTAGCTCTCTCGTCCAGAAACAATTTAATTTGATGCTTGTGATGTTATTCTGAGTGTATATCCACAACGGGCAGGCTTGAAAAATATGCCTGACCACGGTGCATGGGAATCGCGCCTACGACCTTTGGAATACTAGCCCAATACTCTGCCAACTGAGCTACGAGGTCAGGTCGGTTCGAGTATGTGATATTTCGGAACTGCGTCTAGTTCCCGAGTCTAGTTCCGCGTAGCTCGGTTGGCCGAGTATTGGGCTAGCATTCCAAAGGTCGTAGGTTCGATTCCCATCGTGGTCAGGCATATTTTTCAAGCCTGCCCGGTGTGGATATACACTTAGAGTAACATCACAAGCATCATATTCACCTGAGTACATTACAACAACACAAAAAAAATTTAATTTGGTTTTTCCCTAATATACTTTGTAGGTGAAAAACATACTCTAAAAATTTGCACATCAGAAGGTCAAGTTATATACTATACCAAAATTAAGTGAATAGACAGCCGGAATTTTATATGTAAGCATGTTTTCTCTATGCTTTTTAATTAAAGCTGTGGAAGATAAAGATTTCGAAACACAATTAAAGGTACGTAATTAGTGTGGTCAGATTGTTTTCCAAATTGACCAAAAACAGAGCAAAGCAGGCAAAATTATGTTTTTTTCCAGGTGAATAACGTTGCACAGATAAATACAATTGCAAGTGACAATATATATACATTCATGCCAACCTAAAATAACAGAAAATAGACTTTTTTATTTAAAGATATTCTTTTCGGCTTTTTTAGTCAAATTAGATTTCATGCAAAAACTGCATCGAAGGATCTAGTTCTAGCAAACGCATACACGTGTATATCATTGCTTTTGAACTTCACGGTTGACGCACATGCCAACTGCACCCATTCTATTATTGACCGGTCAATAATTGTTTCATTGTGGATCGGTTTCCCCCTCGCCAAAGCACACAGTGAACATGAGGGTGAACATGAGGTCTTGTGGACTGGCACGTGAT